GGATGGGGGCGGGGCGGGGCAAGGGTGAAGCAGCAGCGGCAGCAGCAGCAGCAAGGACAAACAGAGCAGCAGCAGCAGCAACGACAAACAGCAGCAGCAGCAGCAGCAGCAAAGACAAGCAGCAGCAGCAGCAGCAGCAGCAGCAGCAGCAGCAGCAGCAGCAGCAGCAGCAGGAAAGACCACACCGCGGGTCGACCGCGCTCCCTGCCCGCTTCCCCCAGTGCGCAGTGCCCAGTGCCCAGTGCCTAGGGTTTAGGGTTTAGGGTTTAGGGTTTAGGGTTTAGGGTTTAGGGTTTACGTTGGTAGCAGCAAGAACCCGGGGCTTGCCCCACAGCCAGTACAGCAGCAGCGAGTCGGGGGGGCCCCCCAAAGCCAGCAGCAGCTTTGCGTCGGCACTCAAAGCCGCAGCAGCAAAAAGTTTGGACTTCATTTCTTTAAAAGCCAAAACCCTTTTTATTTTGAAAGAAATTAAGTCCAAGACGGAGACCAAACCCCGCTGCAAACCCCGCTCCCCCACTGCCAAAAACCTGCGAAAAAACACGGGTTTAAACCCTAAACCCTAAACCCTAAACCCTAAACCCTAAACCCTAAACCCTAAACCCTAAACCCTAAACCCTAGGCGGTAGGCACTAAACCCTAGGTCTACAAGAGCGCGGAACGCTGGAAAGCTGGGGGACGTGTAAACCCTAGAGAGTTAGGAGCTCGCGATACTAAACCCTGGGGAACCCTAAACCCTAAACCCTAAACCCTAAACCCTAAACCCTAGGGAACGCTAAACCCTACAGCGCACAAGCAGCAGCAGCAGCAGCAGCAGCAGCAGCAGCAGCAGCAGCAGCAGCAGCAGCAGGAGCAAGCTGACCTTTTGTTCTGGGAGATTGCTGTGCAGCAGATGGCTTCTGCCTCGTCGGAGCAGCAGATGAACTTTTGCTGCGGCTGCTGCTGCTTGCTGCTGCTGCTGCTGCTGCTGCTGCAGCGCGACAGCAGCAGCAACCTGCCGCAGCAATACAAAACTGTTTCTGCATCTATGAAATGAATTGGCCTTTCCACTTTTGCCAAACAGCCAAAACTGTGCAGCAGCTGCAGCCCCACGCCCCCCAGTGCTGCAGCAAGAGGGGCCCCCCCCTCAGCAGCAGCAGCAGCAGCAGCAGCAGCAGCAGCAGCAGCGGGGGGGGCCCCCGCTGCAGCAGCAGCGGACTGGGGGCCCCCAGCTGCAGCAGAACCCTGAGGCCCCGGGGGAGCCAGGGCTGCAGAAGAAGACTCCGAGCCACTCATAGCTAAACCCTAAACCCTAAACCCTAAACCCTAAACCCTAAACCCTAGGGTGGATCACGCACAAAGACGGGTTTGGAAAGGCTAGCCCGTCTTATTCTTCATTGATTCTAAATTTATTAATTTAACTTTTATTTATTTATTTATTTATTTATTTATTTATTTATTTATTTATTTGTTTGTTTGTTTATTTGCTGGTTTGTTCTTCAGCTGGAAATGGAAAGTTGGCTGCAGCAGCTTCTTCGTTTCTTTTGGATTTATTCATTTTGTTTCTTTTTTCTTTTTAATTAATTAATTTATTTATTTATTTTATTTATTTATTTATTTTGTTTAATTATTTCACTTTTCTGCGCTCAGCCGCAGACAGGAAACGCTCCCGTCGAAGCCCAGCCCCAGAAAACCCCGTTTTAGGGTTTAGGGTTTAGGGTTTGAGACAGATTTCTAACAACTCATTAACTCCCACATGAAATCAAAAATTAAACCTTAATTCTATTTTTTACTGCTGTATTTAGGCACACACAACCCTAAACCCTAAACCCTAAACCCTAAACCCTAAACCCTCAGGCGACGGCACACGGGTCACCTGGGCGAGAGCTTTCTAGGGTTTAGGGTTTAGCGTTAGTTAGGGTTTAGGGTTTAGCGTTAGTTAGGGTTTAGGGTTTGCTGTTCAAAGTTAACTTCGGTCTAATGCAATACTTGTTTTTAGGGTTTAAGGTTTTGAGGGGCTCCAGAGTTTCCGTGCGATCTAAACCACCGGGGTTTAGGGTCACTAAACCCTAAACCCTAAACCCTAAACCCTAAACCCTAAACCCTAGATCCTTCAGTTCGTCAAAAAGAAATCGTTTGTAGCAACAACTCCAACTCAACGGGCTTGGGAATCTGCGCTGGGCGACCAGTCTAAACCCTAAACCCTAAACCCTAAACCCTAAACCCTAGGCGCCAAACCCTAAACCCTAACTTCTAAAAATAAACTCTAAGGGCCAAGAACAAAACCCTAAACCCTAAACCCTAGCTCCAAACCCTGAACCCTAGACTCCACACATTAATAAACGCCAAACCCTCAGCCCTGGTTCGTAAACCCTAAACCCTAGGCGCCAAACCCTAAACCCCAAACCCTAAACCCTAATCAGCTCCAACGCATTCCAAACCCTAGCAGATTTGTACTGCACCCTAAACCCCAAACCCTAAACCCTCAGGACACAACTGCAAACCCTAAACCCTGAACGCTGAAGGCCCCAGATTTAAGCCCCAGACTCCAAACCCTAAACCCTAAACCCTAAACCCTAAACCCTAAGCACCGGGCCTCAGAGTCCACCCGCAACAGCGCCTAATGGCACTACACTTCGCGCCTCTGATGTCTACCTTAAACCCTAAACCCTAAACCCTAAACCCTAAACCCTAAACCCTAAACCCTAAACCCTAAACCCTCGACACAGAACGCTTGGGACTGGCAACGAATCCCCAAAAAAGAAATTGCAGCAGCAGCGCTACGCTGCTTCGGAGTGCTGCAGCAAAGTTTGCTGCAGCAGCAACTGCTGCTGCTGCTGCTGCTGCCTTACAGTGCTGCTGCTGCTGCTGCTGCTGCTGTGGCTGCAGCAGCAGCAGCTGCTGCTGCAACGCTCAGTGGCTCTGAGGCAGCGCATTTGTGTGCTCTAGGGTTTAGGGTTTGGCGCCGTAAACCCTAAACCCTAAACAAAACCCTAGCCCCAGCTGAATATCTTTTAAATAAAGCGGTCAGTCGAAACTCGCGCCTCAAACCCCAAACCCTAAACCCTAAACCCTAAACCCCAAACCCTAAACCCTAAACCCTCAAATGCAGCGTCGGTACACCGCAACTTGCGTCGACTTCTCGGCGACCGTCACCTCCAGACACTGCACACACACAAAACCCTAAACCCTAAACCCTAAACCCTAAACCCTAAACCCTAAACCCTAAACCCTGAACCCTAAACCCTGCCATCGGCCCCACGCCCTTTCGCCCAAACCCGAAGCCCTGCTCCCCAACCCCAAACCCCAAACCCCAAACCCTAAACCCCAAACCCTAAACCCTAAACCCTAAACCCTAAACCCTACTTTTATGCCTCTTTTCTTCAAATGCCCTTCAGTCAAAGTGTCCACGAGGCTCTGCCAAATGTAAGCGCACAACTCTTCCGCGGTGGAGTGCACTATTGGCAAACACTGCGCGCAAACCCCAAACCCTAAACCCTAAACCCTAAACCCTAAACCCTCCAAACCGCCCCAAACCCCAAACCCTAAACCCTCACGCGGCAGTCCGCAAGAGGCAGCAGAGCTCCCCCAAACCCTCCACACCTCAAACCCCCCTCCACCCCCAAACCCCAAACCCCAAACCCCAAACCCCAAACCCTAAACGCCAAACCCTAAACCCTAAACCCTAAACCCTCCAAACCGCCCCAAACCCCAAACCCTAAACCCTCA